GAGAGTAAGATCTCTTATTTCGGAGACTTCTTCCATGCTTTTAATTATTCTCCAACTTTTACAATTTAAGTTTACATAAAAGTATTTGTTTTATATATATTTGGTTCTTAGTTAAAGGTAGTTTCTTAGTCACACCATATTAGCTCTTCGTTTATGTTTTTAAAACTTAGTTTGGGATATATTTCTCCTTTCAAGTGAGCTTTTAATTAATATATTATTTGAGATTTTCTGTTCATAACGCACTTTTTGTGTGACATTTTTTTATCAAAATAAAAGAGCGAATTATCCCAGACTAAGTTTAAAAAACATGAAAGAATTAATGGTAAAAAATGAAAGAGCGAATTATCTTATCGTATATCTTAGTTTATCCATTTCTTTTTCTAATTCCAAGCAGATAATTTTTTTCCCCAAGACTATGGACCAAAATGGAGAAAATATTCCGACACCGGAGATTCTTTTTAGCTTTCAACGGCTACTATGTGGAGACGACTGGCATCGGTGGGATACTTTTCCGACCGTTGATGCTAATGCCAACTCACCGGATCCAACGGTTGAGATGACCCATGATGGTTCGATAATAGTGTCTGATCCACGTCTAATGACACTCACAACGGTAATAATCTATTAATCATCTAGCTAAGGGTTTTGTTAGTAAGAAATTAAGCCTTTGGATATAATATAGACTTATTGAAACTGTCTAGGAAGAAGTTCTCGAGCAGTGGTTACATACACTGACCAATCAACAATCTGAAACATCATCGTTATCACAAGAAGAAGAAGATATAGGGTATTCTCATGAAGAAACCTTCACGTACGAGGTAAAGTATATAGAGACTCGATTAAGACTCGAATAAATTGTATTGTTTTATGTAAGATGTATAGACTCAAAGAAAACAGTATTTTGCGAAGTTATATATAATATATAATCTATATTTCAATATTCTAAAATTTTAATTTTTTTTACCAAGTATTGTTTTCCCGCGCACAACCCAATATAACACTATATATGTTACTACTTGAGCTAATTTATAACTTTCCTAAGGTCTAGATTTATGTTTGTGAGATAAAGTAGCAAATTACTTCATTAGTAGTATAACTCTCGTTGGTAGAAAATTATGTGTACCATTTTGGTTTCTTGACTAAGGAGTTGTATAGAACTTTTAAGATATCCAATTTTTTTATTAATGAAACTATTTCAGGAGCTATTGGAAATCACAGAACAGATAGGAGATGTTTGCACTGGTTTAAAGATCGAAATCATTGATGAAAATCTAAGCGTAAGAAAATATGAAGATTGTTGTGGTCAAACGGAGAAATGTGTGATTTGCTTGTACGACTTAAAGTACAATGAAGAAGCTTCTAAACTCGGATGTGGTCATGACTTTCACTTCGAGTGCATCAAGAAATGGCTAATGGTCAAGAACATGTGTCCTCTTTGTAAGCAAGAAGTTGTTGTTTAATTGTTTCATCAAGTAAAAATATTGCGTGTATTAGAAGCCAAATTTGGTTTTTAAGTTGATTTATGATTACCATTATAATTCAACTATATTTTTAAGCTACCATCGTCACCATTGCAATGAATAATATCAAGGAACACCAGCTATTTTAGCTATTTTCACAAAAATACACGATATTTTCAAGTTTTAAAAAAACATACAAAAATTGATATATTTCTCTTCCGTCATAATACAGAACATGTATCTTCTTCGTAAGAAAAAGGACAGTCAAATGTTATATATAACAAAAAATTGTATCAAAAATCATCTCTTATTTGTGTTGACCATTATAATTACACATCTGCGAGCCCTAATTCTTTACACACAAAGCGGGAGATAATAAGAACAAATACCGATTTTTTGTTGTTGTTGTAATTTGTCAAAAACGGTGAAACTCTACCAAGACCCTACTTTTCAAGTGATTGTCCCTTTTTATGTTTAGTCATAATAATAATTAAATAGTATGATTTATGACTATCAATAACCTATCTTATCAAATAGTACTCTTTTATTTTGTCAACCGTTCATTTACTGGTTTTCCAACGTCACTACTCTATATTTAACTTATCACATTGAAAAAAGGAAAAAAATCTATGCACTTTTTTTCATAGTGGTCCAAAATGCTTTCTGTTATTATTTTTGGGTAAGAAATCTGCTTATTATATTAAGTTAAGTTCAATTATTTATTCGTAACTATAAAAGTTATGTAACTAAATCCAAATAATTAAATGACACTATTCACATAACAGTGATGTTGAGACAACAGATTATGTGACTACAGAAGAGATTCGCCACTCACACTTCATAACCCCCACGCGCTCCTCCTAAGCGTTTGAGTTCACGCGCCTACCTCCCCGCCTATAAACTCTTTATTACGAAAAGCCAAACAGAGGATTTGATTTGATTAC